GGGGGGGGGGGGGAGAGATTCCATGTAGGAGGGAAGGAATGAAAATATTCTAGAAGTAGAGAGTGGGGACAGTTATACAACCTTATGAATAATATATTTTATTGATATATAATGACACATATTTATAGTGTATAACATGGCTGAAATGGTTATGTTTTATGTTATATGCATTCTATCATCATAAACAAAACAAGAGTTAATTCCATTTGTCTGCAGTGCCTCTGTTCTTCAGGACCTGTCAGTGGCCATATGCCCCACACTGGGGTCCAGTAAATGTGGCTGTCTGTGGGAGCCCACTTCCACCTTCCACCTTCCTCACTGATCTGCCCTTGGGCTCCTGGTGCTCTGCGCTCAAATTCTCTGAAGGCTCCACCCACTCCATGGCTTCTCCTGGAGCCAAGCCAGGTGAAGGCTTTCTGCCACCTGCTCAATCCTTGCTTCCCTAGAATGCATCTGCTCTCCTGCCCCATGTCCCATCTAGGGTCATCAGCCCTGGGGGTTGCCCTCCTTCGTAACTACTTGCTGTCCTGGTTGGCACATTTACATTGTAGCCATTGGCCCATTTCCCAGTCTGCGATTCTTCCTCTGGACTCTGCAGACCCCCAGTCTCTTATGACAGCTTCGCAGAATCTTCCTGTTCCCTGCTGCCTCCCTCAGCTAAGACGAGCTGTGGGGGCCCAGGTCTCTGCCTTCCCTTTGGACCCAAGTGACATTCACTTTCATCCAATCAGGGCAGTGAGGGCAGCTTGTATGGGGAGCGGGTTTACAGCCAGGGAGGACAGTTCAGAAAAGTAGGTAGGCATCCAGTTCTCTGGCCCCTTCTTCTACCCTTGGTTTGCAGGTTTCCTCTTCTGCTCTGTGATTGGAGGTGGTGCAGAGCTGGGGAGGGACTGGATGGCTGTAGGACCCTGCCATACTACCCTGGGAATGGAGGTGAGACAGGCAGAGGCACCTCCTGCCATGTTGCCCACCCCAGCTGGTAGTGCCCCCCAGGTCTCTAAGACTTCCCCCCGCCCTGCAACTCCATCCGGACCCTTTGCCTAGGTCCAATAGGCAGTAAGGCAGGGTCTGTGCAGGACCTTGTGAAGGACAGGAGTTCTCTTTAAACAACCTCACACTGTCACGCCTCTTTGGAGCTTGAGCTACAGGCTGTAACTCAGGACCTGCAGGGTGGTGGCTAGCAGGCAGGGTGGGAGGCTGTGCTTCAAGATGGAGCTGGGAGGGGCCTGGACACTGGAAAGTAGACAGCCTGTGACCCAGTCTGAGGATCCAACTCCCAAAGCCCCTACTCATTTCTGAATGCGCTCTAGACTGGGAGGTAGAGGAATGTCCCTGGGGCAGGTACTGAGGCTGGGAGTGGGGTAGGGAAGGTTACTTGCAAAGCTCTGTCATTGCCAACAAACACTTGTGGAGACCACAGTGGATTCTCATCTAACCATACTACAGCTGAGTGTCCGTAGGGAGGTCTGTGTCCTCTCTGAGCTCTACTTTCCCCATCTGTTAAATGAGAGACCCATTCACAGGGCAGAAGAGAAAGAGCAGGTAAAATTTACTTGTGTGTCCTGGTATTTGGGAACCCACACAGTAATGCCCAGGATTGCTGTTTGTAGGCTGTCGAGCATCCCCTACCTCTCTGTTTTAGTTCACTTTTATCATGAGATACCCCTGCCCCAAACCGGAGGCTAATCACACCCCCACAGGGGCTGGGCAGAGCCTGGGGTGGGTGGGGAGAGGCCCTCTGTGGCTTCTGGTGGCCTAGGCTGCAGAGTCAGAGGCTAGGCATCATTTTAAGGAGTAGAGGGGGTGGAGAAGGTGGGGCACAGAGGCTGGGTGCACGGAGTCCTCATCGCTCCAGCACAGCTGGCCTCTGCAGCTGGGCCCAGCCTGTCTCATCTTCACCCAGGCGCCTCGAGGATCAGTCTGAAGCTGAGGCCTCCTTGCTGTTCTGGCTGCTTTCGGGGTCTCAGCCTCCCAATCGAAGGCCTGAAGATGCTACCCGGGATAGTGAGCCAAGCCCTCCATCCTACATCAGTCATTGGTCCTTGCTTTTCTCTGCTGCAAAACTTCCCAATCTCCCTGAGCGAGTTGAGGGTTAGCTAATACCTGTTACTTGTGGCTTGCAAAGCAATCTATAGTTGGTCACAAACAAGGCCTTAGTATCCAAGATCCCCAAACCTCCTTCCCTCCCTTAATATATGTTTTCCCCACATCTAGCTGCTCTAGTCCTGACTCGGGTGCATGGCCCAGGGTGCATGGCCTGAGGGCCAGGGCAGAGACTGGCAGCGGAGTCTCTGCCCTCGGGGAGGGGCAGCAGGACTGGGAAACTGAATAGCTTCCTTCCACCAAGAAGGTCTCAGGGCAAAATAGGCTCAGGTATGGGAGACTTCTAGGAGACTCTGGCCTCTGCATGTGGCATGAAGGAAGGTTCTTTGGAGCACCAGGGGCAGGGACTGTTCTAGAGTCTCTGAGGCTGCCAGACCCTTCCTTGGAGCAGTGATGTCTATTCCTCACTCCCTCCTTATCCTACACACACAGCCTTAGAGCAGAACAGCCTCTGATGCTTGGCCTGGGTCCAGCCTGGCTGCTGCATGAAGCCCACAGCATACACTTACCATGGAAGGACTACAGCACTGAACCTCAGATCCTAGCACAGGGCTGTTTGGGACTCCCAAACAAATCCAGTCTCTGGATTTGAAGGGGCCGAGGCTCAAGTTCAAGGATACCCCTTCCTTATGCTCAGCTTCTCTGACAACTACAAGCCCCTAGGGCTCCACAGTTAAGGGCAGTGGGTCCTTGACACGCCTCCCGGGGCAGCTACTTAATTCTCTGGCATGGACTCAGCATACGCCTGGGTGCACGGGAGGCCTTTGGAGTAACAGCTGGAGTAGCCAGGAGACACAATGGGGGCAGGTACCCCAGCTCAGCCCCTTGCCCTCTCCGCCACGCCCACGGCTGCATCGTGCTCTTATTCCTGCCCTGGGTGAGAGGCAGAGTGGAGAACCTCGTCTCAGTTGTAGTGACTTGACACTCACCAATCAGAATGACCTTTTGTTCCCCTCAGTGCAGCCCCTCCTCCCCCTCCCACCCCTACCCCTGTCCTTGTCCCCCATATGGCTCTCCAATCCCCTTTCTATTTAAGGGCACAGCAGAGCTTGGGGAGCTGGCAGGGCAGGGCGGGTCATATGGCCTTCAAGGACAACCCAGCTTCTCCACAGGCCCAGATGCTCGCCTGCTGAATGCCCCTTCCTGAGCAGGAGCTGCACAGCTCCCACACCACAGTTGTCAATGATTTGTCCCTGGAGCACAGATGTCCTCATACCCATCTCTATGCGCATGCGCACAGGCAAGCATAGGCACAGCCTTTCTCCCCGGACAGAGAGGCAGTGGCAAGGCCTAGGCAACTCTGTGCCCCTTGTAGGGTCTGGTGTCTTATCCATATCCCATTGCCTGCACAGTGCAGCCCATGGCTGGCTTCCCAGGGCCTGCAAGTGCTGGGCCTGAGAGTTCTCCCCAGAGCCAGCATGGATGGGGAGGGTGCAGGAGAGCTAATGGTACCCAGGAACAGCCCTCAATCTGTAGGAGATGAGGACCAACCTCTCAGCGTCTTCAGTGACTCCCCAGCTCCCCCAGTTCCTATGACCCTGTAGACCTGGTCCCGCCCTCCTCCTTCAGGCTCCCCTTAAGTCCCCTGCCCCACCCCTCCACCAGCTCTGCCAGGGTAGGAGGTGGGGCTCCACTTGGATCAGGTGTGAGTGGCAGGTCTCCCAGGAACATCGCAGCGGCTCAAGGCAGGGACCTCTGTTCTCAGAGGCAGCCCTCCCTCTCCCCCTCCCCCCCCCCCCCCCCCCCCCGCCAGCCCAGGCAGATGGCAGGTCTTCACAAATGTGGTTGAAAAGATAAATATTATTATTTACATCAGCCACTGGCTCACAGCTGACACCCTGGTCTCCTACAGCCGCCCTTTACAGACAACCCCCTGAACATGGATGGGGCCAGCCCATGTCTGGGAGTGGAACATCCTGTCCTGGCCCAGGGCACCTGGGTAGGGAAGGAAGGTCCTTTTCCCTTTGCTCAGCTAGTAAGCTTCCCTAGAAACCAGTCCCTGAGGCCTGAGGACCCTCCTAGAGGTTTCTCCCTCTTCAAAGAGAGGCTGGGGGACACCCTGATTCTCCCTCACAGGTTCCTCAGTCTTCTCATCAGAAGTTTCGGCTTTTTGTTTCCTTGTGGTGCTAAGGATCAAACCCATAGGCTTGTGCATGCTAGACCAAGTGACCACTGAGCTATATCCTCACTTCCCCATCTTCTCTCAAATGGGGGGGGATACCCCAAGACAAGAGGAGTCAGGAGTCAGGGTGAGGTAAGAGAAGCCAGAGTGGCCTGCAGGGTAGCAAATATCCAAGGGTGCAAGGCAGCAAGGCAGGGCATTTCTGGTGGCAGTGCCACAGCGCTGATGGTGCTCTGGTGGCTTGGGGGTGATTTCTAGTGATGTGGCCAGATGTCTCATGTCACCTGATCTAAGGTTCCTGACCAGTTATATAGCCTTTGCTCTCAGTGGTGTCCAAGGCATCATGAAGGCCAGGAGGTACAGGGATGCTGTCGTGAGTTTCCCATGATGCACTGGACCAAGGAGTGGCCTCCCCTTAGTTACTGAGGACTCCAGGTCTCCAGTGGGGTTGGTCACTTTGTGCTCTTGAAGATAGTGCTTGAAGAACCCCCTGAACTGCTGTGGGGGTTTCTAGCTCCCCATCTTCAGCCTATTCCCATTCTCCAGGGAAGATAGGAACAGTGGGGAGCCAGAGGCCTTGGGCCCAGCCCAGTGTTCTGAGGGGTTTTCTACTCCTCAGTCCAGAATTGCTGCTGGGCTGGGCTGGGTTGGGGGCTTCCCAGGCTCAGTGTGGGAGAGGGAATAGGAAGGCTGTTTGCTTCCATAGATGACAGTCAGAGAGCTCATCCATCCTCTCCCTGGCTGCAGGTGTAAAGGCTGCTTTGTGGTCTGCAGCTCAGACAGCTGTGGACTGCTTGATGCTGTGGAAGCTGACCCGGGTAGGGGACGTGGGGATGGACATGGCGCGGGCTACACGGGCGCGGATGGAGTGCTTGTCCTGCCATCGATGCCACCTCTTGCGAATGGCAGAGCGGACCTGTGGGTACAGGGTAGAGCATGACATCTCTGGGGGATTCCCTTCCTCGGGCCACCTCCAACCTCTGTCCAGATGTGCCGTGCACAGAGTTCGCTGGAGGTGGTGACGCATTCATCTTAGGAACACTAGTGGTTTGCATTTGTTGAGGCAATGCTCCCGAGTGAGGATGGGGCACCTGTTGTCTACGTGACGGTGCCATCTGAGCCCCTACCCTCAGCCCCATGCTGTCTGTCCTGCCTCAGGGTTTTCAGACCCCTCCAGGAGAGACTGAAGCCCCCAAGCCAACTACCTGAGGACAAAGGGGAGGCCTGCCATGGAAGGCTTGGATGGCCAAGGGCAGGAACCCTCCCAGAGCACCCAGCAGCAACACTCAGGGACCTGGTGGGGGAGAGGGGGTAATAGCCAGCCCGGGGCAAGAGGTGGGGGGGGGACAGTCTCTAGTTATGTGGCCTCAGGCCCTAGTCCCAGACCCTCACCTCGCTGTTGAGGAAACAGTAAAACACAGACACGAAGAAGCCCTGGAGGGAGGACAAGAAGGGGGTCAGTGTCCGGTGCAGGTGGAGCCTCACCTGACTGGGCTGCTCCAGCCCTTCCCCCCTCCCAGCCTCTGCATGGAGACTCCTCCCATCCCCCCACCCCCCTTGCCCTCCGGAGCAGGTGCAGACCTGGCCCTTCCAGAGCTGGGGGCTGGGTAGAGTGAGTCATGGGCGGCTGTACCTGGAAGGATTCCAGGAAAGAGTTGAAGTAGATGAAGACGACTCGGGAGACCTCATCCTCCCCAGGGTTGACAAAGAACAGCATGTAGGTGATGCCCAGGAGGGGCAGCAGCACCAGTGTGGCCTTCACAGCCTTCCTGGGGAGTAGAGGGGGTGGGGACGAAGTCCCAGGTCACCCAGCAGGGGTGGGGCTCTAGCTTGGTAAAGGAGGTGGGTCTGGGGAGGGAGGGGCAGCTCCTAGGAGTGACTGAGGCAGGGGGAGCTGCAGTGCAAGTGAACTAAAAAAAGACCCTGACTCAGAGGCCAAGAGACTGGAAGCCCCTTGGAGGGCTGAAGCAGGCGGGAGGCAGGTACCTGTACTGAATGGTCTCAGATGTGGTAGATGCCCGGAGTTTGGTCATGAGAATGCGGACGATGTTGAAAAGGAAGATAAAGTTGATCTACAGTGTGGAGGAAGGGTGGTGAGACATGGACATGTTGTCAAGGTGGCTATTCCTCAATACTAGCCTCAGAACCCCTCTTCCCTCTCCATACTTGATGAACACCTGCACATTCCCAGACAGGGCCCCTCTCACTCATTGGGCAGTACCTATTTTTAAGCAGAGGGATCCAGAGTAAGTTTCTTTCTATCTATCTATCTATCTATCTATCTATCTATCTATCTATCTATCTATGGACCGCCTGTCCTCCATCCAGGTTCTTACCAGCAGGACCAGGATCATGGGGCCCTGGTAAATGTAGTCAGTGTATATTCCAGGCCGTTTGCCAAACCAGCACCTGGAAGGTCAGAGGGAAGGAAGGGGTGGGGGTCATCTGGATTGGCTTTAGTGACATGGGGAATGTCAGCGCCTGTTAACACAGAGCCAGGCCCTGCGGTGAGAATGAGGGCATCCACAGTTCTGAGCCTGGCAATTGGTCCCATTGCAGTGCTTCAGTTATCCAACCGGCAATGTGGGGGCAGCATCTTCGGCTATGGGGTGTGAAGTAGGGAGCGAGCACTGAGGGACTGTGGAAAAGGCCACCCAGGAACAGGTGGGGCCCACCGCATCACAGTTTCCTTGGTACCCACCCCCTAACTCCTGGGTTGGGGCGCCCAATGGGTGCTGGCGTTGTGGGATCCCAACACTTAGCAGTCTTTGAGTCTGGCCAGTTGGAACCTGAATAACCTTAAAGGGAGAAACTTTACAGGTATGCATGGAGCAAGTGGTAGATTTGTCCCACGTTATCTCGAGTTTCTGTCTAGTGAGCTCTAGGGAGTGGGTGACCAGAGGGTGAAATGGATGGAAATTCTATGTCCTTTTGGGACACAGATGTACAGTGGCTAAGATCTCAATGATTTCACACACCAGAAATTGAAGTATGTATGTGAAACCTCTTGATTTTTTGTTGTTGTTGTTAAAAGCTGGCTTCTAAATCAAAATTTTAGAAAACACCACACAGGCCAAACTCATCTGTAAGCCAGCCCCTGCTGTTGTTCTTCTATGCAGTGCTTACTTCTTACCACTAGATGGAGCTTCAGGGCTGCTCAGACCCATCCTCATCTCTCTCTTCCCCGCCTTCCCTTCTCCTCTCTCTCCTCTCCTTCTCTCTCCTTTACCCTTCTCATACCTTCACCCCCCCCCCCCCCCCAACAAACAAGCAAAGAAGTCTGGGTCCTGACATAAAAGCAGAATGCTCCAAGGCCCTTGGGGAGTGCCCGGCAGTGCCAGACTCTTCCTGAACTTGGCTCAGGAAGAAGGAGGTGACTTACTTTTCATTGTCGTAGTATAGCTTCCCAATGGCCCAGGCCACGATGATGGGGAAAGGCACACCTGGGGGAGAGAGGGGCATTCCCAGAGCCCTTCAGTGGACACCAGGGGATGCCAGGCTTGGAGCACCCCAGGGAGGTTGCACAGGGCCTAAGGGTCAGGGTTTCTGGGGGCTGAATCTGAACTCAGCATGCTCATGATGCTCCCCCAGGCCCCCAACCTCTACCCCTGAGAAGGGTGTGTACCACACCACCATGCCAGGGTGTCCTCCATCTCCTAGGCCACAGCTGGCTGGCTTGATGGGAGAGAGGAGGGGAGGGGAGGCTGGGGCAAGGGAGGCCCAGCTCACCCCAGCCGATGCCAATGAACATCCACTTGCGTAGCCTGTCGGTGGAGTAAGTGAGCACAATGGCCGTGTGCAGGTAGCAGCCTTCGCCAAACATCCAGAAGAAGTTGGTCACGTGGAAGTAGTTATAGGCGGCTGTCACCAACCTGCACCAGCCCTGTCCCCCCCAGAGGTGATGGTGAGCCTAGGGGAAGGGGACAGTGGCAGCTCCCCACCCTGGGTATGGTCCTCCTTAGGGGCTTCTCTTCTGTTCTATGGGCACCAAGGGCCCCTGCCTGGCCCCCTCTGCAGGGCAGTGCCTCCTCAGGGCCTCCTCAGGCCTTGGATTTGGCCTCATCCTGCTTCCTTTCTTAAGACGTACCACATTGCTCTGGTGGACCTCAGGGCTCATGGTGAGCTGGACCACGAACCATGTGGCATTGCGCAGGATGAAGGCCGAGATAAGGTTCCAGTGGATGATGTTTCTCAGGCACCGGATGCTCCTGGACAGCAGGGGGCAACAGGAGAAGAGAGGGGATGAGGGACAGGTGCTAGCATCATGCCTGTCCTGATACATAAATGACAGAACTGAGGCTCAGAGCGAGCGGGGCTGACAGGGCCAGGTCAACCCAGAGAGGAGGCAGCAAGGCAGCCCTGATGCTTCATGCTTTCCCAGCTGTTGGCTACCCAGACATAAACTCTGGGACAGAGCCTAAAGCCAGGCCTGCTCCTTACTGGGGGTCCCCTCCTACTCCCTGGGGCTCTAGGACTGCAAGTCAGAGGGTTGTCAGGCATAAGAGGTCTTCAACAGGAAGCCCTCCCTCCAGCTCTCAGCCCCATGCTCCACTCCTGCCCCCACTTGGGTCCTGGCAAATCTGAACCCAAAATAGCATGTCACTCCATGGAGCCCCCATCTCTATGGCTCCACCTGACTGGTCACCCCAGAAGGGCAGAGACCAGCCTAGGTGTGAGTAACAAAGGCAGGTGTGAGTTTTGTCCCTCCCCCATGCTGTACCTCCTCACCCCTGTGGCTTCTTGGAAGCAGGCAGAAATAGACCCAGGAGACCAGAGACTCCCATAGATTCTGGTCCAGTCCATGGACAGGGAAGGTTAGGGTGCCCCCTTTTTAGTCCCTCCCACTCCAAGGCTTCCTGGGGATGCAGGAGCATCTTCTGTCCACCTTCTTCAGGGCACAAGGACAGCAGGAGGCAGTCCCCAAGCCTTCTTACCTGAGCCGCAGAAAGAGGATAAAGGCCACGAGGAGGGCCACCAGGGAGATGCAGTGGCCCAGGTAGTTGATGATGACAGCGATGTGGTAATGCACCTTGCTTTTCTTCTGTGGCAGGAGAAAGGCAGAGGTCAGGTGGGGAGCGGCGGAGGTGCGGCGGAAGAGAGGCAGAGGTGAGGTAGGAAGAGGCAGAGGTGCGGCGGAAGAGAGGCAGAGGTGAGGTAGGAAGAGGCAGAGGTGCGGCGGAAGAGAGGCAGAGGTGAGGTAGGAAGAGGCAGAGGTGCGGCGGAAGAGAGGCAGAGGTGAGGTAGGAAGAGGCAGAGGTGAGGCTCCCACATAGCTGCACCTCATGTCACTGTATGGACAGAGCGGGGGGTGATGACAGGGCTTGTCCCCTGCTGAGCCCCTCTGTGGGTCAGCATGTCCCACCTACCTGAGGACAGCTCTGTCCCCAAATGCTGTGTTATTGGACAGATGTAGGCTGAACCAAATCCCTGTGACACAGAGTTCCTGGTGCTCACCCCCTGTGTGCTGTTCTGCTCACAGCTGCCCATGTTCCTATTCTGTTCTAATGCCAGGGCTCCAGTGGGTGCAGAGACCCCAGCTTCTGGGACCTCTTTCTTCCTCCCCCACCTTGGATTGAGTCCCCATCTTTCTGCAGCCGCCCGATGCTCCTATTCCGCAGGAGAGGGAGGGGCAGCCCTGGGGATGGAACTAGACTGCACACAGGATCCTGAGGACTCCAGTTCTCCCCTCCCCTGGCTGCTCCAAGGGGCTAGGCTGCTCCAAGTGAATGTGTATGCTGGTACTGGGGCTTGAACTCAGGGCCTGGGCGCTGTCCCATAGCTTTGTTTTACTCAAGGTTGGCACTCAACCACTTGAGCATCAGCTCTACTTCTGGAATTTTATCCTTGGGGATAAAAGTCTCATGGACTTGTCTTCATAGGCTGGTTTCAAACTGTGATCCTCTGATCTCAGCTTCCTGAGTGGCATGGGCCACTGGTGCCTAGATACAGATGGTTTTCTTGTCTGTCATATCTTCAAACCCTCAAGGAGAACCCAGAGGCAGAGGTGGAAGGGTATCTCCATCTTATTGTGCAGAAAAAGATTCAGAGATAGGTTCACTCGCTCAAGGTTGCCCAACTTGAACTGTAAAACTGCCTCATACCTGCACATACAGATTGGCAAGAGGCTAAGAACATAAGGCAAGGTTCTGCCCCAAAGTGGGGGACTAGGAGGTCCTTAGTGCTCACAGATATTAGCAACACACAGGTGCTGGGAAGCCAAGCTCACAGAGGCCAGTTCAACTTTTCCAAGCCCTTGAGGACCTCCAGCCTTTTCTGGACCTTCCCATCTGAACTGCAGAATCCACAGCAGTCAGAGCTGGTCCTCATCAGCCCTACCCATCATTTAGACGAGAAAACTGAAGACCATGCTCATCCAAGAACAAAGGAATGCCTCAGGGGGCAGACACATAGCAGGCATCCACCAGGGCCCTCTCTCGCTCTCCTTGCTTGCTGCACCCCTTGCTCTAGGAGGCCCAAGAGGCTGGCATAGAAACCATCTGGGGGCAGGGGTATGCAGGAACATGGCAGGAAATCATATTAGCAACTCAGGCCTCATCCAGGAAGTGTGAGCGGAGGTGTGAGCGGAAGCAGGACAGCAAGAGGAGGGGAGAGGGGCTGTCCTGCCATGAAGTGTGTTTACAGAGAACCTCAAAGGCCTCTAACAGCTGCTAGGATCCTAACCAGAGGTTCCTGAACATCTGCACATGCCACAGTCTGTCTGGAAGCTGGTACTTGACTTTATTAAAATTTCCACAAATCTGGGCTGAGAAGCCCCTGGGTCATAACATCTGTGAAGGCAACACATGCGACACCTCTGCTTCATTCACAGGCCCAGGGCAGCCCACTGTGTGGGTGTCAGGAAGCCCCTCTGTCAGGGCCTCTGCCTTGGGCCCCAGTTGGGATATGCCTAGGTCACTGGGTTTGGAGGAGTCATTTATTAAGCATCTACTGTATTGAGCACTCTACCAGACTCTTACCAACGTCATTGATTTTCTTTTTTACAACTGAGTCCTTGCATCTCTGTTTTTCCATGAAAGAAGATGCATCATTCGCCCAAGCCCAGTAGCTAGCAATCAGCACTTGGGCCAGCCTGGCTTGAAAGTCTCTCTTCTCAGCTGGGCACTGGTGGCTCATGCCTGTAATCCTAGCTACTCAGCAGGCTGAGACCTGAGGATGGTGACTCAAAGCCAGCCCTGGCAGGAAAGTCCAGGAGACCCTTATCTCCAGTTAACTACCAGAAAACTGGAAGTAGAACTGTGGATCAAAGTGATAGAGCAGTAGCCTTGAGCAAAAAAGCTCAGGGACGATGCCTAGAACCTGAGGTCAAAACCTATAACTACTCCCCCCCCACTCAAAAAAAAAAAAGGTCCCTCTTCTCCCTGAACCTATGATGCATTTCTTAGGGCGTACAAGCCAGGACTAGAAACAGAGGCTCTCTCTAGAGAGCTGTCCTGCAGGCATGGCCCAGGATTATTGGGAGCTCACAAGGGCTTTTCTTCACAAGGGTCAAAGGAGGGAAAGGATGGAACAATCCAGGATGAAGGCTTATTTGACTCCCTGAGGTGCTGGGCCCACGGGGTGCAAGCTCTGTCTCTCATCTGCTGTTGCACAAGCTGATACTATCCCGGAGCTGAGAAGACAGCTGTAGAAATGACAGCGGACACCCCGGGAGACGGCTGCTGCTGTGATATGAATGTGCTCCCCCAAATTTCGATCCCCAGTGCAGAGGTGTTTGGGTGATGGGGGATATCACGTGACAAGGCAGTTAGTGCTGTCATCTCTGGAGAGATTCTGAGGGAATGGCTTCCTTTCAAAAGGTGGGTTTGGTCCATTTGTTTTCTCTGCCCCTCTCTGCTCTTCCACCATGGGATGACAAAGCAAGGAGGCTTTTGCTTCAAGAAGGCCTTTATAAGACATCAGCCCTTGACCTTGGCTATCCCAGCCTTCAGAACCATGAATGAATCAATGTCTGTTCATTATAAATCACCCAATCTCAGGTGTTCTGTTACTGCAGCACAAAACAGACCAACTCAGACATGCTGAGATGAATGCATGCCATGACACCCAGACAGAACAGCCAGTGAGACTGAAAAACCTCCAGTACCAACCAGACATCTGGCCACCACTCTTTACAGACAGTAACACCTTGAGAGACACTCCTGCCCCACAACACTGAAAGGTGGCTAGCAATACCCCAAGAAAAATCCAACCACATTCTAAAGGGAAGTCAATGACACTTGGGAGGAAATGCCAACAACATACCAAGGGACAGCAAAAGGTCCTCTAGGAGATGCCCAGTGACACCTAGGGTCAGTGACTGCCACAGAGAGCCACCAAGAACTGGAGAAGTAGCTGATGTCCAAAGCACCTGTGAGCAAAGCCAAGCTTGGGGTCCCAGCCAGGAAGCCACTGCTTGCTAGAGTCTGGTCATCAAGGGCATAGCTCCCCACAGCCACCTTTCTCAGGGTCCCCAGCCTCTGCTGGCTGGGGACCATTGGTGAATACATTGGTGGACATGACGCCCCTTTCCTCTGGTTGCTGACTTGCTGGGGCTGTCCCTTACATACTGTCCTTCAGGGTGTGGGGTATCACTTCTTCCTACTACCAGGATGAGCTATTCTCAGCCCCATCTGCTTTGGGCCACACAGCAACCTCCAAACCCCAAACAGGCTGCCCACCAAGTCCATGATGTTCCCACTATTCTGCCAACATGTGTGTAGGGAACTCATGAGAGGCAAATCCCCCAATCCTTCCTCACATAACCTTGCTGGAGGAGAGAGGAAGAGACTCCATCCCAGGCAGAGCTGGAAGAAAGGGATGCTGAAGTCAGTGAGCCTGCTGGGCATTTTTGGTGGTACTGGGATTTGAACTCAGGAGCTTGTGCTTGCTAGGCAAATGTTCTTCCACTTAAGCCAAGCTATGCTTTTTAGTTATTTTTAGTTATTTTCCAGATAAGATTGAATTCTTGACTGGGGTTGGCTTTGAATGCAGTCCTTCTACCTAAACCTTCCCTTAGCTAGGATTTGCCCATGACTAATCTTGGTCAAACGTTTGAGACCTTATCCAAAAAATAAGTAAAGCATAAAACCAGCTGGAGGTGTGATTCAAGTTGTAGAGCACCCATCTCGCAAAGATTTGAACGTAAAGCCCTGAGGTCAAATCTCAGTACAAAGGAAGGAAGGAAGAAAGGAAGGAAAGAAGGAAAGGTGAAAGGGAGAGAAGAAGGAAGGGAGGGAGGGAGGAGGGAGGGGGAGAGGGAAAAAGGGAAGAAGGAAGGAAAAAAGGAAAACAGCTCCCTTTGGGTCTAGAATCCAGTGGATAGCAATAGCGGTGGAAGGGAGAATTCATTGAATTTCCATTTATGGTGTTTGGATTTTGTATTATGTGGTAACAATGGCTATTCAAAAACATTAAAAAAATTTCCAAGGATCTTTTCTATCCCTGGTTGTGATATAGCCCCTGGGAGCTGTGCCTTGATGTTTCTCCTAGATTTGGGGGAATGGAAACAGATGGGAATCTCCTGATCATCTGTACCCCAGCCCTGCCTCAAGGCACCCAGCACAGGCAGCTGCTTATGAGTGTGGCTAGAAGGGAGGAACAGGGTCCTGGCTCTCTAGCAGCTCTCAGCCAGCTGCCCTGGGGCTGGGCTTCCACATCAGCCTCTAGCTCCCTGACCGCCAGCTAGCCATGTGGCAGGCATCCAGCTCAGGCTGGCAGCCCTGAGCCCTGAGCCCTGAGTGCGGGGGCCCTGGCTCACCTCCTCATTGAGGATCTCCTGGCACTCGGAGTAATTCACACGTGCAGCCCAGCTGCCGTTGGCCAGGCACTCCCGGTAACCGTTGTCTGGGAAAAGAAGAGAGACCATGACAGAAGAACAGCGTAGCATCTGCCTGTCCATTCAGCTGTCCATCTGTCCGTCCATCTGAGCAGCACAGGATCTGCTGGCTGGGGTCTGAAGCAAAGCTGGGAAGGAATGTGTAAAGATTCTTCTGTTCCTTTTTGCCCACTGGCCCCACACAGGGCTACAGTGGTGCCCTAATACCAGCTCATGGGGCCATGGCTCTTTCCACTTAAGCTGGCCCGATCATGCCACAGCATTGTTCATGGACAGAGTTGGCCAGCTCTGGGCTGCTTCCCCCAAGTCCTTTTGTGGCAGTAGATTTCATGGTGGGTGCTCTTCTGAGATGCTCCTATCTTGGGGCCCTGTTTGCCAGCAAGAATAACCAGATCAAGACTCACATGGAAGGATATGTGCTAACAGCCCATGTGGCCAATTGAACAGCAGAACAGCCCTTGCTGGAGGTTTCCGTGGGTAGTCCTCACGTGGGAGTGTTTCATGTAGGGTCGGTGGGAGCCTCACAGGACAGGTCTTGGGGGAAGGCCTCATGGCACATTTAAAAGGTCATGGGGCAGAAAATTACAGGTGATGAGGGTGTGCTGGTGACGTCACTCAGGGTGGTTCTCACTTGACAGACAGCTTACGAGGGATTTGCTATGCTGTTTCTCGTCTGGCCCCTGGCATTCGGGAAGAAGGCAGAATGGCAGCTTAGAGACAGCACGATCTGTGCAGCTGTCAGCCTGGACTGCAGCCAGAACCTGTCACCTTAGGAGCTGCTGGGGGGAGGATTGACTACAATTCCTGGCTTTAGGGCTTTGGAGGGGCAGGGAAGCTCCAAAGAATCCATCTCAACTTCCTGCCCAGCCCCCTCAAGCACTAAGGTCCTCAAATCCAGTAGAGAAGGGACCAAGAAGGTTCTAAATTCTGTTCCGTGTCCTCTGCTGGTAAAAGCCACTTACCCTACCAGGGCCTTCTCTGGCATCAGTGGCTCTGTTTCCTTGAATTAATTCGGACTCTAAGCAGCACTGGCTATAATAGAGACATTGGGCCCTGAGCTGTTTCTGCTGAAGTCTCCATTACTGTGGCCTCTCTGCGGCTCCTGCTGCTCTAGGGTGCTGGACCACAGCTGAGGAAGTGGCCTGAATCCCAGTCCTTGGGCCTGGAGCCCTGCAGGGGCTCTCATATATAGTGTCAGGCCTGCTTTAGCAGCTCCCTAATGACCATGAGCCAAGGGATCACCAGACAGTTGGCAGCATCAGGACCAGAGAGAGATGTGAAAGGGGACTGGGGGGTGAGTTGATGCATGCCAGGACAGGGGATTGTGGCCTGGCTTTGGAGACTTAACAACTGTGGCTTCCTCTTTAACCAGAGGAGCTGCTCAGGTTGTAGAGAGCATGCAGGAGTCAGACTCCATAGATTTTTTTTTTTTTTGTCGGTCGTGGTGCCTGAACTCTGGGCCTGGGCGCTTAAGGCTAGTGCTCTACCAGTAGAGCCACAGCACTACTTCCCAGCTTTTTCTGCTAATGTGGTGCTGAGAAATCGAATCCAGGGTCTCATGAATGTGAGGCAAGCACTCCGCCACTGAGCCACCTTCCCATCCCTGATGGATTTTTTTTTTAATAGCTCTGTCCAGCTTCACTGTAAGGAAACCCAAGTTCCAGGAAGAGCTATGCTCTGGGCAGGGTTTAGTGACAAGACGACAGATACTCTTCTAATGAGCTCTTGTGAAGACAAAACCCACTGCACACATCCAGAGCTAAGGGCTCAGCAATGGGGTGTTCTGGAAGGTCTGTGGACAGGATGGGATGTGGAGGCTAGGAGCCAGGGGAGTACAGGGTCTGCTATGGGTGAGAAATGCTTTGCAACCAGAAGCTGCAAAGAAAGGGGTAGTCGGAGGGAAGGGCATGAGGTCATGTGACCTTGGGTAGCTCACTCCTTATCTGTCAGCCAGAAAGATTTTTTTTTGGGGGGGGGCGGTCAGTCATGGGGCTTGAACTCTGGGCCTGGGCACTGTCCCTCAACTCTTCAGCTCATAGTACTCTACCACTTGAGCCACAGCACTACTTCCGGTTTTCTGGTGGTTAACTGGAGATAAAGAGTTTCACAGACTTTCCTGCCCAAGTTGGCTTTGAACTGAGATCCTCAGATCTAAGCCTCCTGAGTAGCTAGGATTACAAGCATGAGCCACCAGAGCCGGGCTCCAGAAAGATCTTGATAGCAATTCCCACCTCGCTGGCAGAGCATTTTTTAGTTAACAAGTGCACCGTGCCTGTAAGTGTACCTGACATATGGTGTAGGCTGTTTTGTTTATTATTATTGTCTCTGAGCTGTATTTATATAACCTTACATAACACTGGGAACATGTCTCTTGTCCTTATCAAAGCGGGGGCGGGGGGTCTAGATGGAGATTGTGGAGGAGTACCCTCTGTCCTGTCTCCTTATACCAGTTTGGGATGGGATACCTGGAGTTGGTCTCTAGGTCAGCCTATCCCAAGCAGCAGGCTTTGGCCTCCTGGGATGAGCTGACCCCCAAAGGCAAGGAGCCCCCACAGAGAGGATTCAACCTCCTTGTCTCTAATTGTTGAGCTGAGCAGTCTTCCTGAAGGATCATGGGAAAGTGGATATTTTTGGAAATGTTTCCCATCCTCCTGAACATCCAATGCAGCAGGAGGGATGGCACGGAGGAGAAGCCTAGAAGTACGTCCTGGCAATAAATGAATTAATGAGTGCCTAATGATTAGGTACAGCTCTGCTTCCCCACCCACTGATGATACCGGTGGGCACGGTCATCTGGCTCTGAGGGCACCTGCAAAGACGGGGCTGGGGAAGGGGTGCTTCCAGCCCTGGAATTCTCACTCTGTTAGGGATGGACCAGCACCCCTAGGGAGGGACCAGAAGGAAAAGTGAGGGAGCCCAAAGGGTACTTCACCCCACCCCCCACCCATCCTGCAAGTGGAAAAACTGAGGCTCAGGAGTGGGAGGGACTGCTGAAGGCAGGGCTGACACACATCTAATCATGAAGTTCTATGAAGGTTTCCAAGTATCTAGGGGTGCAGAATGAGAGTAACCCTTGAGAATGAGAGTGGAGGGTGCTTGTGGGAGTGGCCAGGGTCAGTCAGGAGCAACAGGATGCCCCATGTGAAGTGTGACAGCTCAACTCTGGGACTGGGGCTAGACATCAGGCTGCCTGAGACTGGGCCATGGTGCTGGGAGAGAAACAGGGCCCCTGGTAGGTTGGCCTCTGTGCGGCGAGGCAGAGGATTTGGCATGGGGTACGGAGCAGTGAATGGTCTGGGGCACCAGGACTTGTGACTGCCTCTAAGCTCCGTGACCTTGCATGGTTATTAACCAATCTGGGCTTCAACTAGCTACTAAATTGCAATCTGGTTGACAGTACATCCTAAGCTCTCCTTGGCCTTTTAGACTGTTCTCCCCCTTCTTCCTACCCCTCTACTCCCCTCCTGCATTTTTTCTCCTCTCAGGGTCAGGGCATGGCTATAGATGCATAAAGCTACTTGATCTGGCTCTTCCATCCTTCTGTTCTGCTGTAACACCTCTCGGGGACTCTCTCAGGACCTGAACCTTCTAGTCTGTAGCCCTAATCCATGGGGAGGGAGGAGGGGAGAATTTGGGAATCATGAGTTGTAAGAAATCTTTAGATTGGTCACCTAACTTCTAATTTTCAGATGAGGGGTCAGAAGGGGACATGTGTTGAGGGCACACAGTGGGTCTTTGATGGGATCACCTGGTATCTGCATTCAACTTCAATACCCCATTGGGGTGCTGAGTTCAGACCCACAAGCTTCAAGGGTTCACACAGGGGGCCCCAGGGATCTGGGCTGCCAGTCTCCCTTGGGCCCCTAGCCTGCAGCTGCTCTTCTCTTGCTAAGCAGGGACCTGAGTCACTGACAAGAGAAAGCAAATTAATTCTGAGGGTGGCAGGTGCTATCTCAAGAAGCTGCAAAGCCTGGCACAAAGTTCAGGTCTTGGGAGTGAGGTGTTTACCTGGGGATCAAGTATCGGAACAGCCCTGGGTCAGCTCTGCCCCACCCTCAGCCATCTGCAGACCTGGGAAGCAATTCAGCCCCATCCCCCCAACACTCTGGGAGCCCTGCCACCTGGCTAGTGGCCTAGGGAGGCCTTGGAACATCTTTGAACTCAGGCTATTCTGATAGTTTCTGCCCTACCTCAGGTGGGTAGTTGACGCCACTGGACTAACTCAGTTTGTTAACCACAGGAGAAATGTTCCAGACAGACCTGTCATTCCAGCTCCACCTTTAGCAGCTGGTGACCTTGACCTTAACCTCTCTGGACCTTGTTCTGAGGCTTTAATTCTATACCAGGTGACAGTGTTTTCTTGTGAGGAACAAGCACAGAGCTGGCCTTCAGTGTTATTGCTATTATCTCTCCCATTTCCAGAATCCCCCATCCTCTCCCACCTCCCAGAGCACGGTCCACCCTCTAGCTTCTTCCTTACTTGTGGTGTTGTAGCGGACACCATAGAAAAACGCGGGGCAGGGCCGAACCACCAACTGCCCTGCAGGGCTCCGGGGCCAGCAGGTGCCAATGAGGTCCACGGAGGCATTGCACTGTAGCCCTGAGGACAAGAGAGAGAGAGGGCTGATGAGGCACAATGAGACCCCTCCCTAAGCAGCCAGAGGTCCCTCCAGAATCCTGCTCATACCCCCACTAGCTCACACTCACCCATCAGCTAGGGACCACAGCAATAGCCCACGTGCAGACATGAGCTCATTCTATGCCAGGGGAAAGAATCTGCTACTGGTGCTAGGACACCAGGGAGTCAGTGTGGGTTCCAGAGCAGAGGAACACAGAGATGTCTGGAGGTAGGGCTGAAAGTTAAAGATCTGGCTGTATGTCTCACGTCCCCTGGCCTGCAGCCTGATGATACTTCTCTTTGCCTCTCCTTCTTTCGGTGACAGATTAGAGTTGCAAAACTTTAGAGGAACACCTAAGAAGAAGCACAGCCTGCCACAGTCAGAACCCTTTGAAACCAAACAACATCTGGCCGGACCCCACAGAGAACCAGCAAAATGGGCTTGACCTAGCTTCCAGCTGGCCTGATGTCCACACTTATTGAATGTGTTGTTTGCACCCTGGTCTGTGCTGGCAATGAACAGCAACTCCGGGCTTATGGTTTCAGAACAGGCTCTGCTACTAACTTTCTGTGCAACCATAGGCAAGATGCTTATCCTCTTATGAATTCAACCACTTGGTTGAATTAGATATGAGTGTGTGTGTGTGTGTGTGTGTGTGTGTGTGTGTGTGTGTGTGTTACTGGGGATGGAACCTAGGGCCTCAGGCATGGCAGATGGATGCTCTATCACTGAACTATACCCCCAGTCCTGGGGCTTGAACTCAGGGTGCTGTCCCTTGAGGCTTTTTGCTGAAGGCTAGTTCTCTACCACTTGAGCCACAGCTCCACTTCTGAGTTTTTTGGTGGTTAATTGGAGATAAAAGTCTCATGGATATTCCTACTCAGACTGGCTTCAAATCACGATCATCAGATCTCAGCCTCCTGACTAGCTAGGATTACAAATGTGAACCACTGGCACCTGGCTAGCCAGATGTTTTTGACTGTACATAGAGGGCTCATTCTATCATACCACATTGTGTGGCAATAAGAGGTGGGGACAGATGAGGGGACATTTATTGAAAAGGGGGAACTGTGTGCCAGGCACAGGGAAAATTACATGGGATGTGATGAGGAGGGCCCAGAAGTGCCACACACACACACACACACACACACACACACACACACACACACACACACACAGTCAGTTAGATTAGCATCTACCCACCTTTCTTCCCTGATCTTCAGAGAGCAGGTGCACAGATAGAAGGACACTGACCACAGTCAGCACCAATCTAGAGCTAATGCAGGGGCCAGCCAAGACAGCTGGGTCTCCTGGGCCAGAGGACCTAGCTTTCCTAATGCCCCATCTTCTAGGGACCTAACAAGAGCTCTGGCCACACTCACAACTAGTCCTGGGATGTGGGGACTCTCTAATGAAGGGTAGGTGTGTTCTGTGTCCTCAGGTTAACAACTAATTCCCTAGCACCTTTATTCTTTTTTTTTTTTTTTTTTTTTTACTGTTATTTTAAAGATGATATATACAGAGGGTCACATTTCTTTTTGGACAATGTCACCCCTAAGCTTGCTCTCTCCCAGCACTAGCACCTATTTTGACTTTTTTTTTTTTTTTGTCGGTCGTGGGGCTTGAACTCTAGGCCTGAACGCTGTCCCTCAGCTCTTTAGCTTAAGGCTAGCGCTCTACCACTTGAGCCACAGCACAAAAACCACTGGTTTTCTAGTGGTTTATTGGAGACGAGTTTCACAGACTTTCCTGCCCAGGCTGGCTTTGAACCACGATTCTCAGATCAGATCTCAGCCTCCTGAGTAGGTAGGATTACAGGTGTGAGCCACCAGCACCCGGCTCTATTTTGGCTCTTGCACCACCTGTCCACGTGGGCGTCAGTCATATTTAACAGAGAAGTAAACTGAGGCCCACATGGTTACCAGCTTGTTTGACCCTAGGTATTTAGTAACTAAACATGGGGCTATCTAAAGGCCAGGGTGGGTTTGACGCTGAGCTCTTCCCACAGCCACACAGGGGCCCAATCCCAGCTGCTGCTCCTCTCAGCAACATTGGTCTGCACCCATCTGGGCCCCAGATCCTGCACATGGCCCTGTGACCCTCCCTCTTGTCACTAGGTGGAGGTGGAGCCGGGAACCCAGTGGAAGATGCGACCTTAAATTAAGAACCCAGAAAATCCTGGAGGAAATTAAAGACTGTGAGACAGGAAGGAGAGACTGCAAGAACGGGAAAGACTAAACGAAAGGGACCAGGGGACAAAGGTGCCCTTCCAGAATCGACCAACTCACCCCTCTTGGACTGGATCTGTGGACGGGGCTAATGGGGGCGTGGTTATATGTACAAGGGCCAATCAGGAGTGACGAATGAGCTCCTGGAAACACCGCTTGAACTTCAACTAAGAGGTCAGGAGAGTGCAAAGAGATGAGCTGGACCTCAGAGACCAAGAACAGGGTGCAAGGCAGCCTCTCAAGTAGGGAAAGGAGATCTCAGGTCCCTAGGTGATCCAGCAGAGCAGGGGCTCCGAAGGGGACAGGTGTGTAGGAGTTGGGAAGGGGACCAACATCTCTTGAACACTGCTGTACACCAGACACCGTCAAGGGAGCCATGCATTAAGAAATTCATGCCACTCACGCAAGCCAGGCAACCAACCACTCTCTGAGTGGAGAAGGAAGGGGTGGGAAGGCAAGTGATCAACGAGAGGAGACAGGAAGGAGATAGAGGCAAAAAGACCCTAAGGATAAATAGGGAAAGGAAGTCAGGTCTCGACTGATCATGCCTGTAATCCTAGCTATTCAGGAAGCCAAGACCTGGGGAAGTCAAGTCCATGAGACAATTAATTGACTCCAAGTAATCGTCAAAATGGCAGAAGTGGAACTGTGACTTAAGTGGTAGAGCACCGAGCCTTAAGCAAAAATAAACAAAAAATAACAATAACAAGAAAAGGCCCCAGGATTAGTATCAAAAAATTAAGTAAGTAAATAAAATTCTAAAAAAGGAAAGGAGAAGGTAATTTCAGAGGGCAGGGTGGGTGTGTATGGGAAGAAAGTAGGAAGTCTCCAGTGTCTCAAGTCTATTGGCCATAACTTCAAGGTAAGGCTACTCAAGTTCAGGACCCTCCAGGGTCCATTGCCACAACACTCAGCCTCTTCTGCATTCCTGGGGGGGTGAGCAGAGTAGGTATCTTCCAGCCTGGATATTATAATATGGCAGTGAGGAGCAGTGAAAGCCAGCCTTACAGCTAGTCAAGTCCATTCACCAGCCAAAGCATACAAGTGAGCTGCAGGAGCCACGTCCTCCTACAACCCTTCCCATCCCTCAGTGTCCTTTCTAATTAGTTAAGGTATGGGTGGGGAAGAGGAGGCTGCTCTTTATTCAGCAAGTATTTACTGACCACCTAAGAAATCCACTCTAGAAATGAATAAATGTCCTGCCTTCATGGAGACACTGTAAAGCAAGCAAACAGCTGTTAGGGAGAAATACTGTTGAAAAAAAACTACAGTGTAAGGAGATCAAAGTCTGAGCTACTTTCATATGGTAATTCTCTAAAATCCTAATGGTTAGAGACCTAAAGGATGGGAAGGGAGCCATGTGCATACCCAAGGAGAGGGTTCTAGGTGGAAGGGAAAGCAAGTATAAAGGCCCTGAGGCAGGTATGTGCATGGGGTGTCTAAGAGGTCCACATCCTAGTTGGATTAGAACAGGTAAGGACCCTTTAAAGGGGGTCAAGTGAATACTCAAGTGCAGCTAGCTGAGTCTTGGTTTCTTTGCTCAGTTTGTTACACAGTTCCCTTGTGACAAGACTTAGGGCTCAAATGTGCTCCACCAACCCTCCCATAAGTAGATAACTTCAGAGGGAAATCAGAACCTGGCTCCTGTGCCAGTTAGGTGGGGTCTCCCAGAAGAGTCTTCTTGGAAAACCAAATGGAGTGGACACATGGCAACAACCTGGTGGCAGGAAAGTTTATCAACCCATCTGATTTAAGCCACAGGTACCCCAGAGGGGAGCCACTGGCGCTGGAGATAGCCTCTGAAACATGGTTCTTGCCTATATAGAGGAGTGTGCTACTAAGCTCAGGCAGAGAGCGCTGGTCTTGGCTTGGCCATCTCAGGGTTGAGCTGCCTCCTCTTTGGCTTGGCAGCAAAGAAAGGTGCCTCTTGGAAGTGGCACTGTGGCTCAAGTTGTAGAGCAAAAGAAGCTCAGGGACAGTGCCCCAGGTTCAAGCTGCATGATCACACGAACACAAAATTCACTATTTATATATGTGTGTGTGTGTATACATATATATGTATGTACGTATGTATATTTTTTAAAGGCTGGAAGCATGGCTCCAGTGGTAGAGTATAAGTCAACTAAGAGCAAAACTCTGAGTTCAAACCCTAGAACTAGCATCAACAACAACAACAAAAAATTTAAGCTGGGCACTGATGCTTCATGGCTGTAATCCTAGCAACTCCCTGAGTCTGAGATCCAAGGATTATGATTTGAAGCCATCCTAGGCTGGAAAGTCTGTGAGACTCTGATCTCCAAATAACCACCAGAAAAATGAAAATGGTGCTGTGGCTCAAAGTGGTAGGGCACAAGTTTTGAGTGAAAAAGCTCAAGGACAGTACCCAGGCCCTGACTTCAAGTCCCACGACTAATGGAGGGTGAGGTGCCTCTCTAGAGTGTGACACATTAGGACATATAGCTAGGAGCTCTATGATCCTGTAGTTCCAGGTGCATAGTTGGTGCTGAGGAAATGTGAGGCCACGTAAAACCTAGAATGGGCATGAGAAAGTGCAAGGCTAACAGTGCACCACAGATGGTTGTGCGGTAAACCTGGATTTACCATAAACCTCTGGGTAGCCATGTAATGTAGCAGGAAGTCTGAATTCAGGCGCACTGGGGGCTAGCCCTTCATCATTGTGTGTATTTAGGCAATTTACTCAACCTCTCTTGAGTTTTAGATTCCTCCATTGTAAATTGGGGACAAAAACACTTCTTGATTATCTGATGTGATACTGAAACAAGATTAAGCTTAGAATGGTATCAAATCCACATGCTTAATCAATAATTATTACCTCTCAGTGGCATAAAACAAGAGATGGGAACCAGTGTTCCCAGGTGTGTGTCAACATTTCCATTTGTCTGTGATTTGTCAATAATTCGATTACTTCCTGGCACTGTCATTGCTCATGCCATGAGGTGATGAGTCTCCAAGTCTGTGACCTATGCCAAGATGTGACCCTGGCCCTGGGGACCCAACCTCTCCTGGCATGAAGCATGCGTAGAGCCCCCAGAGGTCCCGGCTCAGTGCCAGCCATTCCAGCCAGATGCCTATCCATCTGTCCCAGCTCTTCTGTCCCTCCCGCACCATCTGCCTCTACCAATGCCTGTCAGTCTGGATAGAGCTCAGCACTGGAAGACAAATGGCTGTTACCAGAGGCCATTGGGAGGTGATAGATTGCTGTGCCACGAAGCCAGGCGGGCTGGGTTGGGGGTGGGGCATCCTGTACAAACCACCAGGGAATGAATGCCATTCATCACAGTGAGCCTGCTGCCTCCAAGGACAGGTGACACTATGTGGGCTCAGGCATGTCACTCCTTCTGCACATAAAAAGCAAGTTAATGGAGCCTGACCTGGCTCTGGGGTGTTGGGGAGGGCTAGAAGGCTCCCCCAGGCCTCCCTCTCTCTCCACTGGAACGGCAGACTAGCAGAGAGTTGATATTCTTTCCTTTCCCCATCCCAGCTTAGCCAGCTGTGCAGCCCGGTGCCCTGAGCTACCAGTGCCTCCCCAGGCTTATTGCTCCTCCCTCCTCATCCCCCCTCAGGCCTGCTGCCAGCCAAATACATCCTCAGCTCATTATCAACCCTTGCTTTGGCTCAGAGCAGCATCTCTCAGCACATGAGCAAATCTCCCTTCAGAACCACCGTAAAACCTTTTCTTTCAGGAAGCCTTCTTAGATGTACCCCCACTTCTGTCCTAGCTTCTGCCACCTGCATTGTTGTAAGCAATTTTGGGCAAATACCTTCTCTTCTTTCCAGCTATCCTGTAAACACTTTTTTTTTCTTTTTAACAGTACCAGGGATCGAACCCAGGGTCTGGTATTCATTAGACATGTCCCCCATCACTGAGCTACAGCCTATTTTGTTCCCCTGATGACTAACATGGGCCCTGCTATGTAGGAGGTGCTCAATGAATGAATGAATCAAGAAGAGCCTTGAAGAGAAAATAAACCAACACAGGACAGTGAGCTTCCCAAATGCTCCTCAGACACAGCAGGGCCAGCGTTCCGCCTGACAGCAGCCATTCCCAGATCCACACTCAAAAGTTCACAAAGCCACGGCACGGGAAGCCCAGCCACTCCCACAAACTAGCTGAGTAGTTCTGGGGGGAGTTAGGGAATGCTTCATGCCTCAGTTTCCTCATCTGGATGAATGTCGGGTTCTCAGCTCTTCTAAGAATGCGATAACTCTACAAAGCATCTTGCCAATGGCTGGTGTTGGCATTCACTCAGTGTCTTCTACAGGAAGGGAGAGCGCATCTTGTTTTAGAGCACATGAGGAAGCCAGGCTGCCCGCTTACTAATGCTTTTCTGTGCCTCAGTTTCCTTCTGTGTCCGATGAGGAGAGTGGCTAAAGGTTGTTGTGCAAATTGTGTTACTCTATCTCAAAGTTCTTGCCCAGCGCTTGGCATGCATTTGCTGCACAGCATTAGACTTAGCGCACTTTTAGCAGGAGCAGACAGCAGCTTTTCTCCTACATATATCCCTGAGTCTTAGCCTGGCTGCAAGAGCTGGGGCACCCTGCCCTGTTGCCCATCCTAAAGTGGGGGCTTGACTATAGGAGTACTGGCTATGAGCAACTCCTGTACCCACAGCAGAGGCTGCTGTAAACCTTAGGTCTTTTTTCTTCCCTTCAAACTTCAGGATCCTTTCCAACACGGCACTCCACGGAGATACACATCTTGGAGCTTTTAAAGGCAATCTGACAGCTATTGCTGTTCCAGAGTGTGGTTCAATGTGCAGGTCTTGGGAGTCTTGGGGCACAGGACACTGTCTGTGGTGACCTGACATCTTGCAGAGAAAGGATGTGGGTGGGGGTTGACTCACCAGAGACATTGCTGGCTAGGGACAGGCTCTCACAGTGCTGGTTCTGCAGAGAAGTGGAGACGGGGTTCAGCCCCAGGAGGAGAAGGGCCTGTGGGTGGACACAAGGAGGCAAGAAGCACAGTTAGGCAGGTACCCTCAGCAGTCTGGCCAGCTGCTTCCTGCTTCTGCTCCCTTTCCCCTCCTTCTCTTCCCAGCCCCTCTACCCAGGTTCCTGTACTCCCTCCCTCTACATACTCTTAAGCCTAAAAGGTCTAGTGCTGCCCAGCTCAGGGAGAGCTTGGAACAGAAGCAGCAGGAGCTCATGCACGCACACGCGCGCACACACACACACACACACACACACACACACACGCACACGTACGCACGCATGCACATACAGTCATGTATACAAGGCCCTCCCATGACCTCCTGAGCTCACAGGCACTCATTGTGGACCTGTCCTCTCCTAAGCTGTGAATACTCATCTTCTTGTTTAATGAACTGTTGCCTCCTGGACCCTGGTCTCCTCCTGGCGAATTACTGGTCACTACAAACTCCACTCTGCCGTAAACCAAGCCCTTCTGCTTTATAGCAATATTTGTAATGGCAGAGCCTTCCTCACAGATGAGGAAACTGAGGCACAGAGAGGGGAAGCAATGAATGTATCTAGAAAGATGGCTATTTCAGAACCTTTGCCCTTTAAGCTCCCCCAAAGACTCCGGGCCATTCATCCCATAACTGAAGGGTTGCCCCTTCTTGAGCCACCATCTTGACAGATTATTACTAGAGTTTAGCTGGGCCTGGCCTCTGGCCCTATTCTTGCTGTGCTGTTGTAGGCAGGTTATTTGACCTCTCTGTGCCTCAGTGTCCTTGTCTGTAAAAACAAGTATAGCCATCATCTTCCCAGGCTTATAGAATTCTATGTAGTGCGGCCTGTGCCATGAGGGTTGGGGCTGCATTCTGCTTGCTACATTTGAATCTGCTGAACAGACCTGAGGAATGACAGTTTCTAGTCTACAACAGGCACTCAGTAAGGTCACATTTATTGTCTGACTTGAACTTAGCAATAGCTATCTCTATGGCTTAGAGGATAATCAGCTGTTTCTACTGGGATTTCTTTTTTGTTGGTTGGTGCTGGTCCTTGGGCTTGAACTCAGGGCCTGGACTCCGTCCCTGAGCTTTTTTGCTCAAAGCTAGTGTTCAACCACTTGAGCCACAGCTCCAATCTGGCTTTTTTGAGTAGTTAATCAGAGATAAAGAGTTTCATGGGCTTCCCTGCCCTGGCTGGCTTCAAACCAAGATCCTCAGAACCAGGCTCCTGAGAAGCTCAGATTACAGGCATGAGCCACCAGTGCCTGGCTTGTCCTTGAGCTTTTTGCTTTAGACTAGTGTTCAACCACTTGGGCTACAACTCCACTTCCAGCTTTTTTTTGGTTAATCAGAGATAAGAGTCTGATAGACATATCTGCCTAGGTTGCCTTGAACCTCAGCCCTCAGACCTCAGACTCCTGAGCAGCTAGGATTATAGGTGTGAGCCACTGACATTTGGATCTGTGGGGATTTTATTTGTAAGGAGCTCAGAAGTGGATGGGGGTGGGAGGCACACTATAAGTAGCTCCTCCTGGGCTGGGGGTCCTGGGCACAGTGGCCAGCAGGCTTTTGGGTGAGGGGTGCTCTCCTCACTACTTCCCTGCTCCTTCTCCTAGAGCTCTGGGTGCCATGCTCACCCAGCTTTACAAGTAAATGTGAATGTGCAGTTTCTTTCATTTGCCTGTGGCTGTGGTTTGATATTCTCTCTCTCTCTCTCTCTCTCTCTCTCTCTCTCTCTCTCTCTCTCTCTCCCCTTTCCCCCCAGAGGCCAGTTTTCTATGCTTACATATCAGGAATGTCCCCACCCCCCATACTCCATTGGTACCCATACAAACGCAGGCCTTGTGCCCTCTCTCCACCCTACCCTCCAAGGGGGCATGGAAAAGCCCTACTGCTGGTCAGAGCTGGGCTCCCCAACTCGTACAGGAAGCTTCCCGACCCTGCTGGCCCTCAGGCCCATACCATCCCCTCAGCATCTGCCTGAGACCGCAGTGGGGCCTGTTTACCCCGTTCCCTTCAGGCACATGGCTTTTCTACCTGGGGAGAGGGGTCTCTGATCTCTCCAGGCCAAGTTCCAGGCTCCAAAGCAGCACCAGGTCTGCACAGGCACCAGGGCATTCTGAAAACCCGAAGGTGCCAGGTTCAACTCATTAGATCCCGGGCCTCCATGGTGATTAGAACAAACCCATTAGTCTCTCTGGCCCCAAGCAACTCCCAACGCTTTATTAATTAGTAATTAAGCTTCATGGTCTCCAGAAAGGTGGGGAAATACCTTTACTGTCACTTTCCAAATGCAAATGCAGAAGGGGTGAGAGGAGGAAGCCACCAGTTAGGCAAACAAAGGACAAACCACACTTGACAAAGCTACCACTGCTCACTCAACAGGCACAGGAATCCAGCTGCTCTAGCCAGAGACACTTCTAGAAGGAAACTAAGAAGTCTTAGCCCCAGCTTCTCATCCTACCCCCTGCTCACCTCACTTTACAGGTTCGCACATACGCATACACACATATACGAACACAAGCATCAGCCTCAGCTCAGCCACGGGCAAATTAAAGGAACTGGAAATACCTTATTGGGAAATAACAGCCCACCACCTTTATTTAGCTAATCAATCTTTGTTTCCCTCTCTTCCTTTTATTTCCCCTTCTTCCTTTACTTGTGCCAGTACTAAGGCTTGAATTCAGGGCCTTGAGCTCTTGCTCTATTTTTTAAACCATGACTGGTACGCTACCACTTGAGCCACACCTCCACTTCTAGTTTTGTCATGGGGCTTGAACTGAGGGCCTGGATGTTGTCTCTGAGTTTGTTTTTTGTTTTTTTTTTCTCAAGGCTACTGTTTTACCACTGAGTCACAGCTCCAATTTGATTTTGAGTAGTTAATTGGAGATGAGTCTCACAGACTTTCCTGCCAGGGCTAGCTTCAAACTAAGATCCTCAGATCTCAGCCTTTTGAGTAGCTAGGAGTACAGATGTGAACAACTGGCATTCATCTCATTTGCTCTTAAATCAGATAGAAGTGCATGTGACCTAAGGCTTCCTTCAACGCCTCCAATGACTTCCCCATTCCATCATCAGCCCTGGCTGTCTTTTCAGAAACTTTTCTTTTTCTCCCAGTACTGGGAATTGAGCCCAGGGCCTTGCCTATAATAGGAAAGGCTCTCCTAAGTCATGCCTGCAGCCCTTCAGAACCATTGTTATGTGTGTGCTAGAACCGGAGTTTGAACTCAGGGCCTCAACCTCTCCTTAACAATATGGCTCAAGGCTGACACTCTACCACTTGAACCACATCTCCACTTCTGGCTTCTAGCTAGTTAATTAGAGATAAGAGTCTCATAGACTTGTCTGTTTGAGCTGACTTTGAACTGTGATACTCAGATATCAGCCTTCTAAATAGCTAGGATTACAGGAATGAGGCACTGGCACCTGATTCAGAAACTTTTTATTTTTATTTTTGTCAGTCGTGGGGCCTAAACTTTGGGCCTGTGTATGTCCCTGGGCCTGTGTATGTCCCTGAGCTCTTCAGCTCATGGCGAGCACTCTACCACTTGAGCGACAGCTGAGCCATGGTGCCTCTTCTGGTTTTCTGGTGGTTAATTGGAAATAAGAGTCTCACAGACTTTCTTGCCTGGGCTGGCTCTGAACCACAATCCTCAGATCTCAACCTCCTGAGTAGCTAGGATTATAGGCACGAGCCACCAGCACCTGGCTTGAACCTTTAAAAAAAATTTTTTTTAAATAGTTTTACTCAGAATTATTTTTCACAAGCCAAATTCTCAGAACTTCATGAGATCTGCCATTTTCTAGTTAGTAGAGAAACCTAAATAGTGCTGAGAATGTGAAGTTGGCAAAGCACTAGGTTCACTCACTGGCTAATTGCTGACTCTGCAGCCCAGCCTGATAGCCACCAGGCCCCAAACAAACCTCTGTTTCCTTACTAATCTCTGCAAGGCTGCATCTCACACAGGCACGCACAGCTCCATGATGATGACTGCCTTTTGGGTAGATGAACAAAGAGGGCTGGTGGCACCTGTCGCCCAGGCAAGAGAGATGGATGAGCAGAGGAGACAGCAGCACAGGAGCCTGCTGGTGTGTGTGTGTGTGTGTGTGTGTGTGTGTGTGTGTGTGTGTGTGTGTGTGTGTGTGTGTGTGTGTGTGTGTGTGTGTGTGTGTGTGTGTGTGTGTGTGTGTGTGTGTGTAGAGACAGCCTGGTAAGCTGCCTGCTTCAGCCATTGCCCTGGTCCCCTGGCCTCTGCTTGCCCCATCCTGCCCTGGCTAGGTGCAGAGTTGAAGCTGCCACCCCAATTCCCAGTGTGACTTTGGCATAAAGGTTAATCACACCCAGAAAATGCTTATTAGAGACCATAAATAACTACTTGCTGAAGCTCAGTTTGGTCTTTAAGGCATAAAGTGCAATTTCCTTTGACGGAATGATTTGGTGATTGACCTTTCTGGGTGGGACCTAAAGGGCTACAAGAGGAAAGGGAGGGCAGCCCGGAGGCAGCTGTGTCCCTCCCCCCCCCCCCAAAGTTCCCAAGGAACCAGGAGAGGGGCGGGTCTTCCTCTTCTGCCACCACAGGCTCCTCAGGCCTTTTTGTTGGTTGGTTGTTCTGCTGTTTGTGCTGGTAGTGGCATGACCCCTGGGCTTCATGCTTTTGCCCAGCTTGTTTGCTTTATGGCTGGCATCTACTGCTTGAGCCACACAGCTGGTCCAGCTTTTTTTTTTTTTTACTGGTTAATTAGAGACAGAATCTCTTAGACTATTCTGCCTGTGCTGGCTTTGAACCATAATCCTTCCATCTCCACTAGGCTCTCTCTGGGAAGGGGCTTTGTAGCTTCAAAGGGAGGTTTTGTTTTAATGATCAGATTTAGTAATCTCTCTGCCCCCTTGCTGGAATTGGGATTGTATATTCAGGGTGGACTAAGAACCTGATTTGGGGGCTGAAGGCAAGGCTCAGAGATGGGGCACTGCTCAACAAGCACTAGACCCTGAGTTCAAACCCAGTATGGGACGGGGGG